CCCCCCAACCCCCCACCCCCCCCCCTGTGACTAGCCACTGTGGTGTCGGACCCGACACGACCCCTTCAATTCACCGATGGATGCGCCAATGCATGAGCAATGACGGTCCGCTGACGGATGTGACAACCCCGTTATTTAAGAAAAAAAATTCTGCATTCCTGTTTTTCTTCTACTTCCCCACATCTGTTTTGTACCCTGTACCGTTTGTTACCAGCCTCTTCACTACCCACCGCTTTGAAGGATCGGTGCTCCTACACCCCCCCGGTACTTCGCGGTCCGCCCGAATTTCGGGCACCCATCACACCAACCAGGAGCTGCAGCACAGCGTTCCCTTCACCCATGGCTGATGCGACTGCACCTATCTGCGTCGCCATTTCGCCAATGCTCCCGACGACGATGGTCGCACCCTCCTTGTTCGCCTGAGCAATCGTCGCCGCGGCTCTATCCAAACCCTCCACGTACACACGTGTGGACTCAGCCATAGCAGCTCCCACAGACGACACAGAAGATGGGTCACCTCCAACATGGTTACATGGACTTTGTTGCCGCTGGTTCGCCTGAACTTCGACCTGCTTCCCGACGTGTCGGACCCTCCTCTGTCTGACCCTGCTTGGTCACCTGAACCTTCCCCCGTGCCTTCTGCTTCAGCTCCACCCATGGTGTCCGAGTTCATCGCTTTATCACACGTCCCAGACGGTCTTTGCAACATCCACTCCATCGCCTGCCAAAGACGTCGATCAAATGTGGCATAAAGACCTTCGGCCTCTCTCTCCTCTTCAATCATATCCCAATACGATTGATGGCCTGACCGCCCCACCTTATCCACAAACAGTTTCAGCTTCTGTCCCAGGTTAAACCATTTTTTCCTGCAGTCCTCAGCGGACCTCATAATCCCTTCCTCTTTCATGCGCTCGGACACCCACTCTTGTCTCTCCCCCTTCTTCATGCACTTGTGCCTGGCGGACGCATCTGCCATCATGGCATCATCCTCACGTTGCCATTTCGCCAATGCCAAGCACTCCTCCAGCGTCCAAGGCACTATCTTTTTGGCAGGAGGTTTTCCTTTACGCATTCCCTCGTCAACTGTTGTCGGGTTGTCATTGGTCTCCTGCCCCCCTACGCCCTTTCCACTCCCACTCGCCTCCGCAGGGCACGCAGAGGAGGGTGGAGTACACCCTCCTCTGCCACGTCCTCCCTGTGCCGGCTGTCTTGCCCGACCTCTTTGTCCACTACTGTCACTTGTGCCTTGTCGACCTTCACCTCGCCCCCTTCCCTCACCACGGCTGGCCGGTGGCAAGCCGGCACGCAAACGATCGACGGACTCGGACGACCCAGCCTCAACTGTGACCTGCTGGGGGGCTGCATGAGAGCACGCCTGCCCCTCACGCACACCACTGCCACTGTCCACGTTCGCCCCCGTCGTCGCTTGTGATTGCCCATGCCCCGGCGTTCCTCCCTGTGGCAATGTCCCCTGCCCACTCCCGCTTTGTGCCCCACGTCTCGATAAGTCATTCTGTCCATGGCTGTACACACCGCCATTCCACTGCTGGTTGGATGTCACCCCGTAACACCGTTGTGGTCCTGAGAGATCGTCCATTGACATCCGTCTAGGGAGACCAACGGAGAAAGGATCTTCGTACTCCCCGCACAATGCCGCTGTGAAACTGCCTGCACCGATCGTGCTGCCCCCGTGCACGGGCATGTGAGCGGCAGTCGGTTGTGAGTACATAGCGGCAGACGAACTGCCGCGGCCGGCCACGCCCCCATGATCATCTCAAGCATGGTAGAAAGGTACATGACCCGGTCGCACATCTCGGAGGCCGGGCGGATCGTTCCTCCATGCCGGCAGTTGCCCGCGGGGAAGGTAGGAGAGACACCGAACTTGTCAGCGTCCTGACTCAGCATGGACAAGTGGGTGGATGGCGGAACGGAGTGCAAGCCTTGATACTGCGCCGATTGTTGGGAACTTTGGCGAGAACGTCCCATACCTCCGTTTTCGCCGTCCTCAACCCAATGTTGTCTGTCCATGCTCACAAAGCAGATAACAATGCAAAAACACCGTGACCTTCGTCCCCTACGACAAACGGACGAAAACGGCAACGCAAAGGCGAGAGCGAGGAGGAGAACAACACAGGCCAGGAAGATGGCAATGACAAGGATGACCGACAACCCTAGCATGAAGAGGACTGTGGGATGAAGGGAAATGCAAGGACTACGGACATCTGTGGAGCTTGCTCCCCTTCCGCAGCAGCAACAGATATGACCTCTGCTGCCAGGCAGGTTGATCCCCGGTGCCTCTACCGTCGTCAATGCCGCAGACACACGTGGTTGCAGGGTCGTCGGCTGTTGTGCTTCTGAACCGGTTGCGGGTGGAAACTGACGTGGCCGGAGGACACGTCGGGCCGGAACGGGGGACTGGGAAATCGGGAGATGACACCGACCAATGGCCAATGCGTAGTGAGCGAGGAGCCTGCAACGTGGCACGCATGCAGGTGATGTTCTCGTCCGTCTTGAGGGGATGACGCCCCTCACGGCGATGTCCTCACGAACCTCACTGCAGATGGGCAAGACTCGGGCTTCCACATTCGAGAGACCGCTGCCGCGCACGCCGGCCTTGTTGCTCGTACCATTGGCAATCGGAGGAAGCAGTCGATGTCCAAGGTACGCTCCGCAAGCTGCTCCTACAACCCGACGATGTGGAATGTGCGGTGACAGGGCCGCTAGGATTGCATGAACCCTTTGCATGCCTTCGGACAGCCTGAGGTATGGCGCTTGGAATGATCGTGGAAGCTTGGCAATGGCTGCCCGGCTTGTCGCTTGCATGGGATATGCACGAGACAGTCGTCGTTCGAATGGTCAATGCAGCGGATGTCCCTTTCCTGTCTTGTTTTTTTTTTTTTTTTTTTTTTTTTTGGTCGCCGTTCATGTCGTCTACAACCCTTTTTGAAATCCTCCCGCCCGCCAAACCCACCCAGCCTCCCCCTTTGAATTTTGAATTTGAACCGTTATGTGAGACGACGCGCGCCACCAGCGGGAAGGGAGCCTGGATGACCCCAACGCAAGGTGTTGGACCCTTCGTCGGCCTACGAAGGGTCGTTCGCGGAACCCCCCCGCTTCCCCCCCAAAAAAAAGACACATCAACCACGCCTTCCACTTGTGTGACACCCACTTCTTGTCCTGGTACGGCTGTGGATCACCTGCTTGGACCACTGGAAGTCCGCACACGAACGCAGTCCCCGACCCTCCGTCGGCATCGGAGGGGATGCGCCCCCCCTACCCTTCCGTCGCCACCGGGAAGTGCTGTCGCAAGGGGGTACGAAGGGCCCGCGGCCGGAGTGGAAACACTACTCCCATGTTCCCGAAGACCGAATCCGCTCACTGTGGGGTCTCGCCGAAGTGGTTTTGGAAACCATATTTCTTGCCGCGCGGCTGTGTGGGGTCTCGCCGAAGTGGTTTCGGAAACCAAATTTCTTTCCGCGCGGCTGTGGGGTCCAACCCTTAGCCTTTAAAAAAAAAAAAAAAAGTTGCAGTCTTGGCTTCCTTTTCTCGATTTATGCGTGTCATCCTTGCGCAGGGGCCATGCTAATCTTCTCTGTATCGTTCCAATTTTAACGGATGTCCCGAAGGACCAGTCTTGGCTTCTGCCATGTCATGGAAAATTTCTTTTTTTTCCCCACAAAAAAAAGGAAATTTGTCTGGAGCCCCTGTAATTTCCATTATTTTGCATCGCGCCCCTTTGAAGGCCGACCTACCTTCTCGTGCCCCTCTGACCACGATTAAGTTTCCCATAAAACCCCGGCTTCGGCCGGGCCTCAAACATTTTTGTTATGCCCCTACCAGTACCCATTCCAAATTTGGAGTATGCCCCTACCTGATAGCCGGTGAGTACCAGCACGAAAATTTTCCATATGCCCTTACCCGAGGGTGCATGTTTTCAGCGCACCTCTATGGCTACGCGCATGGCGGCCACTTCATTTCTCTCTCTCTCTCTCTCTCTCTCTCTCTCTCTCTCTCTCTCTCTCTCTCTCTCTCTCTCTCTCTCTCTCTCTCTGCCTCTGTCTCTCTGTCTCTCTCACACACACACACACACACACACACACACACACACAGTCATTTTTAGCTGCAGCGACCATGTGCTTCAAATCCGAATTTCTGGCATGATGGACAGATGTATGCGCTGATGAGGGCATAATGCACAGGGACCGGTGAAATGAGATTGATCGTCCAGTAAGGGCACCGTGGAAAGTTGTGCCCCCTCCTTACAGGGGCATGCAGGAAACTTCAGAGGCCCAAGGGGTACGACAGCGTAAGTGGGCCATCGGAGGGGCGCTATGCAAAATAATTGAAATTACAGGGGTGCCAGACAAATTCTCCAAAAGAGGCAAAAAAAAATAAAAAAATAAAATTGTTTTTTGGGAACATATCTTTTTCCCTACCTATCGACCACTACTACTTGGTCGTCTTTAGTACTTCAGTATACGAGCGCATGGCGAGATTTGTCCTGAGTATATGCGCGGAGAGTTGGGTTTGAACTTTGAACCCTTGAGTTGTCGATGAGCAGTCACTCTTACCGCTTTGCTAGGCAGTTTAGGGGGAAGGGGGATAACTTGCAAAATACCCCCATAAGTTTTAGATAGATGGCAAAATGCCCCTGAAAAATGATGGTAGAGTGGAATGCGCTTTTCGGCCAAATGTGTTTTGTAGATTCTACCTTCTTTTTCTTCCCCTCGAAATTGCTCTTTTATTATCAGGGCCAGGGCGCCCTACCACGAGCTCAGAGGCGCATCCCTTACACAGGCTATATTCCTATAGCCCAATAGCCTGGAGCGAACGCTGATTAACGACTACTACAACAACCACACATCCCCTACACCACCAACCACCCAGTACCACCCAACTGCTATGCACTCCTTCTACCAAAGAATCAGACAGGCGAAAATCCTGGCAGAAGAGGGATGGAGGAAATAAATATCCAACACCTCAGCTAGGACTTCCCCATGTAGAGCCGGCATCCTTGTGCGCAGCACCCATGAAGCCAATCAAGAGCCAGCATCTTTGTGCGCAGCGCCCCTCCTCTTTTTTGTTATTTTTTCTTGACCCTGCAAGGAAGCAAACCGGCAATCTACACCAGTACTTGGCCCAGCTATCATTCCGAGCCTCAACTGACCGGTATGCCGACCCGTGGCAGGGCTCAGACTACCAGGCGTTCACGTCCCGGATGTACTGCTGAAAGACAAGAAAAGAGAAAATAGGGGATAAAAACAAAAAAATATGCGCTACCAGCCGGGCTACCCCAGTCACCTTGTTTTCCCTGGCGGTCCGGCCGTGCAAGGACCAGGGAACGTCCCAGCAAAAACAAAACAAAAAAAAAAATCCGAAAAAAACTATGTTATGCAGAAAAAAAAGCTGGCCAACATTTGCAACAGGGTCACATCAAAATTCTGTACCTTCTTTTTCTTTTTTCTTTTTTTTTTTTGGCCCGGCCGAGCAAGTGGTCCTGGGACCTTGTCCCACATGCACCATTTAGTGGACCAAGCTCCACGGTGTGATGGCTGAAACTGTTTTTTTAATTCATTTCTAATTCAGAAATGCATTAAAAAATCCGCCTAAGATACAGTTCATTCTTCTTCTTTTTTTTTCCACAATTGGAGTGGCATACATGACGCTGGACCCGCTTTCCAGCAGGTGACGCTCCCCACCAATAGATGGAGCCTCTCCTGGGTGCTAGTGGTATCTGTTTTAATCAGTATCACTAGCACTGCAGGGCGTGTGTTTTTTTGGAAAAAAAAAAAAGAAAAAAAAAAACGTGACCTCCGAAGAGTCGCTCCGATCCTATGAAGAGTTGCCCTATTCGCCCTATTCCCATAGTTGACGCATATGTGGTCCTTCAAAGGTCGCACAAATTGCCGTAGTTCACGAATCTTTGGTCCTTCAAAAGTTGCAGGAAAATAGCAAAGTACAAAATAATTCACAGAGTAGGTTAATGCATCTACAACGGCCCCGGGGCCTACTTATATGCTTTCTTCATATTTCTGATTTGAGACAGTAGGATATAATTGCAGCAGGTTAATCCTCCTCTGCACGGATGGGTGAAGAAAGGGGTCACAAGGATACAGGACATATGGGATCCGGAAAATGCGGATTGGATCGACCCCGACCTGCTGCGGGAGAAGCTGTGATACTGTCACCACCCCCAAGCGGCCCTGGAAAGGCTGACGGAACTGATCCCTCTAGGCTGGCTAAGAATTCTACGTAGGGGTCCGACTCTGCAGGAAAACGATTGGGTTGCTAGCCCGGGCACTATGGGGTGGGTGGGCAGAGTGGCCGCCTTACACCCAAATGGATCTGTAACACTGGATCGCTTCCTGGTACGAAAAGATAACATTCTCCACAGCGACACCGATGAACCAACGTCTGTGCACCCAAAAGCAGACCTCTTTCGTATCAGGGTGCTCCAAGAAAACCAACAATAGATAGCGTTTCGGCCGTCCTCCCCGGTTCAGCAACTGCCTCTGGACCCTGTGGAGTGGACTTGGACCTCTCAAGGATGGAAAGGCAAAAACTTTACTAAGACACTCTATGGATTAACGGTAAAATCAACATACCGGCTCCTGTGACCCAAAACTAACCTCGCCGATCAAGTGAGGGAGTGATGGATATCTCACCTAAATACAGCCAGGCGGAAATAAGACCGGTCAAGTGGTTTAGACTGGCCAAGGTGAAACCTGCCAAGATTGCGTCGCTTCAATGGCAGAT